CCCCAAAACCCCAAAACCCCAAAACCCCAAAACCCCATAAGAGTAGAATAGTATTTTTGTATAATGGGGGGTAGTTAAATTTTAGTAGGTTAAGGTTTTATTGATATGAATTAAGTTAAATATGTATATGTAGTATGTTTATAGTACTATTGGCTAAGAATATTGTTACAATCATTAATACATGAATCATCATTATTTTCAAACGGTTTACTCAATTTAAATCTCAGAATAAAGACTCCAAATTTTCTAAGCAATCAAATAATTCACTATCGCTTGAGTCGATGTCGTGCTAAAAGTGCTGGTTTGAAGTGTAGAGTTCGTGCATATCTTCCTCGAGCCTTTGTTCGGAGATAGTAGTATCATGAGAGTGATCACTCTGCATACTTTACTTGCTTGATATCTTTCTTAGTGGCTTGCCCTTAGCGCCTGATTTATCAATCTTAGTGCTAATCTCTGTCTCCTACTTTTTAGGTAGAAGCAGCTGTATTGACTTCTTATAGGAAACAAATTCCTTATGACTAACATATGTTTTGTACTCTAGCATGCCTAAAAAGGCTAGCTCCATACTCAATAGCTCTTTGCAATCAACCCCGATAAGTCTGGAGAAGTCGGAGTTGCGTAGCAATTCTTGAGTCTCACAATAATACTTAAAAGCAATCATTAAGGAAACTGTGGAGACTCTAAAATAAACATTATTGATACTAGTTAAAATACTTTAGAGCATTTTTTGAGTGAATCATGAAGAGCTAATTTGACTTTGTCACTTTATCTATGTAGAGCATCGCTAGAGTAAAGCATTGTGAGGGGATATAGGGCATTAGGATTTTGAATTTATTTTCTAGCAATTACGATAATTCATTTGTACTGGACTGTGGAATAGTATTTTTGCTTGTGTCATCAAGAAGATTTTCAATGTTTTGGTGCATATTTTCCCTCTTTCTATTGAACTCAGGGAACTTTATTGAAGTTAACTCAACGATTTGTGGGTATGAGTCGATCTAACCGGCTATCAATGAGACTATGTGAGATAAATTCTTGATCTCGATGAAAGTCTTTTAATATTACTACAAAATTTTACGACTTCTTTGATGCTTAATCATAAAGTTTTGTGTTATTAAATATATGTTTATATAAGTATTTGAGATGACCATTCATATCATTATATCTCTAATTTAAATCCGATTTTTGTTCTTTGGGGTTTTGGGGTTTTGGGGTTTTGGGG